TCACCTGATGGTAAGTGACTACCGCCGCCCATGAACAACCGCAACACCAGGGGAATTGCAGATGCGTTGCCGGCCTTTTAGAAAGGTGTAAGCTCTTTTCTTGAAGGTTCCTAAGTCGTATCGGTTCGGAAAATTCGCTGGTGGTAATTGATTCCACAAAGAAGTTGTGCGAGGGAGAAAACTTCTTCTAAATCGCACAGTGGTGGACCGCCAATCATCCAGATGGTACGGATGGTAACGCGAGTTTTGTCGCGACGTGCGATGGTGAAATTGAGCGGCTGGAATTAGTCCGAACAATTCCTCAGAGCACTCCCCGTGATAGATGCGATAAAATACGCAAAGAGATGCAACATCTCTACGCAGTGCCAGTGTATCGAGCTGATCGGAAAGAACTCGGTCGTCGACGATTCGAATCGCTCTGCGCTGGATGCGGTCAAGTTGAAGGAGCTGGCACTGGGGTGCCCCGGCCCAGAGATGAGAACAGTATTCCATGTGGGGCCGAACTTGCGCTTTGTAAAGTTGCAAGCGATGTGCCAGCATGAAATACTGTCCCGCTCTGCTGAGCACGCCAAGCTTTTTAGAGGCCAATTTGGCCTTCCCTTCCAAGTGACCACGAAACTGCACGCTATTCGATATGTCGACGCCAAGGATTCCGATACTGGCTGAGGCAGCAAGGGGAGTGCCTTGAAACTGAGGAGATACGACAAAGGGGTTCTTTTTAGCGGTAAACGCGCAAACTTGTGTCTTCTGGGGATTGAACTGGACTAGATTTAGTCGGCCCCAATCCGAGACTTTGTTAAGCAAAGACTCGACTTCAGACACAAGTTTGTCCCGGTACTCGGCGACGTTTTCCCGAGAAATATTGGCACGGCCGGTATATAAGGCATCCCCAGTGCTGTCGTCTGCATAGCAATGAATGCTACCAGTTAGCAACATATCATTGATATGCAGGAGAAACAGCGTTGGTGATAGCACGCAGCCTTGTGGAACACCAGCGTTGATAGGCTTGTAATCAGAGCATGCACCGTCTACTACGACCTTGATGCTCCGATCAGCAAGGAAACTGGTGATCCATTTGCACAATTTCTCGGGAAGCCCATAGGAAGGAAGCTTCGAAAGAAGCGCCTTGTGCCAGACCCGATCGAAGGCCTTCGCTATGTCCAAACTAACGGCCAATGCCTCCCCCTTGGACTCTACTGCCTCCGCCCATCTATGAGGTAAGTAAACTAGAAGATCACCCGCTGATCGACCCCGACGAAAACCGTACTGACGGTCACTGATCAGCTGGTGATCTTCAAGGTACCTCATGAGCTGGCAGTTTATAATGGATTCCATTATTTTGGAGAACAAGGAGGTGATAGCGATAGGCCTGTAGTTGGACGGGTCTGAGCGGTCGCCTTTTTTAGGGATCGGGTGGACCAAAGCTGTCTTCCATGAATTCGGGACTACGCCTTGGGAGTAGGAGTACCGGAAAAGACGCGTTAAAACCGGTGCCAACTCCGGAGCACACGTCTTCAGCACAATGGGAGGGACTCCATCGGGCCCACTCGACTTGCTGACGTCCAGGGAGAAGAGTGCTTTGCGAACCGAGCGCTGTGTAAATCGCACATCCGGCATGGAGCACTCACATCGCGGGATGGTCGGCGGTGTGTTCCCCCCGTCATCTAGAGTCGAGTTAGACGCAAAAAGAGAGCACAACAGATCGGCTTTCTCTTTTGCGGCATGGGCCAGTGAGTCGTCCTCTCTGTGCAGAGATGGAAGGGATGGCTGACAGAAGTTCCCTTGGACAGCCTTGGCGAGAGACCAGAATGCAAGGGTTCCCGAAGGAAGGCGAACTAGTTTCTCGCCAATTCTGCCGATGTGCTCAGACCTTGCCTTGGCAATGACGCTTTTGAAGGACCTGGAGGCGGAATTATACTTCTTTTTAAGTGCGCTGGTGTTTAAATCCCGAGACGTTGATGCATCAGCCCAGGCCCGGTAGCACTCCTGCTTATAGCGTGATGCTATTTTACAGGAGCGACCAAACCATGGCTGGGATCTGCCTCCGATGGGCATCACAGAGGATGGAATAAAAAGTTCCATACCCTGAAGTACCACATCAGCAACAGAATCGGCAACAACGCTGGGATCTTCCGGCGAGAAGCAAACCCGCCCCCAAGGGTAGGATGCAAAAAAAGACCGCATCCCGTCCCAATCAGCTGACCTATAGTGCCAAACACGGCGGCAAGCTGCAGATCGCAACTGCGATTGGAGCGTGAGTGGCACCGTGCTCCGGATCAGACAATGGTCCGAAGAGCCCAGAGGGGCATCGACGGAGACCTGATATCCGTCCGGATGAGAGGTCAACAGAAGGTCCAACAGGGAAGGTACATGGTCTTCCACATCTGGGATCCGCGTAGGCGAAGTAACCAGTTGTGTTAGACCATATGCCAAAGCAAAGTCGTAGACAGATCTACCCGCATGACCGGTTAAACGAGAACCAAGCCATTCAGCGTGGTGGGCGTTGAAATCACCGAGTATCACGATCTCTGCGGATGGGACCTGTTGTAGCACGGAGTCTGCAGCCATTTGGACGTGGTCGATGAGTCGGTCTGTGTCGGCATTACCGCTATGGGACCTATAGAGGCACCCGTAGACGCGGGGATGATCGTCGCTGTCTACGCGCAGCCATAGGATGGACAGGTCCGTACCTTCAAGGCTGCCGAGGCGTCGAAAACAGATGTCCTCTCTGACGTATACACAAACTCCAGCCCGGGGCACAAAGGAGTGTTCCAATTTGTATCCCGGGTAGGAGAGATATGAAGTATCAGCCGGAGAGGACACCTGAGTCTCGGTTAAAAAGAGCAAGGCCGGCTTCGCCGTCTCTAGATGGTAATGGACAGCGTTAAGGTTGGAATGAAGTCCCCTGATGTTGCAAAAATTCACGGATAGCGTGACAGGGGTCGCCTTGGTTGTATTGCTCCGCTTGCCCCGAGCAGCATTAGTCACGAGCGGAATTTTGCCCCCCCCCCCTCCCCCCCAGAATACGCGGGGCAGCCTGAGCACCCACGCTCAGGAGTGAAGTAGTTTGGTCGTGGATGCTCAGCGAGGGATTCTCCAGGGGTGCTGGTACCCTCCTGGGGTAGTCTTGTATTTAATTCCACTACCATGTTGATGGGGGGGGGGGGGGAATTGGGCCTCCGGCCACCTGCACTCACCAAGCGCAACGCAGAGGTAAACCTCTACTTCACGCTGGTATTCTGTGAGGTCGTGGTACCACCCCGGTTCGAGCTGGCCCATCCGTGCGACAGCAAAAGCTACCGCTTAGCTCTACCACTGTTATACGCTTTTACAACAAAATTCCAGAAAATATACAAAGTTTGACCTGTTCAAAGTTCAAAAACTTTATTAAACTAAGTTTGTATAAAAAGGGTTATTATAATATTAAGGAATTTATGGATGATAATAACCCCTGGAAATGAGGTGATCGCTACCAAGCTATTTCTAATTTGTTGTGTTGTTAATTTGTGTAACATCATGATTGTAAGCTGTTATTTAAAAAAAAAGTCCCGCTGGGTTTCTTGCTGGTTCTTCCCAGGACAGAGGTTTTTTCCGAACCAGTGGTAATCAAACAAAAGAGTGACTTTCAATAAGTATTATTTATAATCTATATTGAATAAAAAAGTTTCTGTTTCTGTTTCTGTTTCCTAAACCTACACTGAGAGGGAATTACGTCTCACAGCTGATCGCGAACGTCATATTTTATCTCGAGAATCTGAAACTTTTACTCAATATGAAGACCGTTTGACAAATGATAGGGTGCACCATAATATTATTCGATCTCTTGAAGATGAACATGAGCATGAACAACGACTAGAGTCGGGACGCGAATATTACAATTCTTTGAGACAAGAACGATTAATAAGTTTGTCTAATGAAAGATTAAGAATTGAAAATATTCGGTCTCTTGAAACGGACGAACAGCGAGAGGCCCGTCTTACTGCAGACAGATTTCGACATAGTCTTAATGACTTAGATGTACACATAGAAGATCAATCTACAAATTCGGTGGCGTGGTCCGACAAATATAAAAGTGGGTTTGCTTATAACCTCACAATTGATTACAGATCATCTTCTGTAATAGGCGATATGAACGTAGTATATTCTTTTTGTAATGCTTCAAAGTGGAGTAAGGAGTCGGCTGGTTTCTGTTGTTCTGGAGGTAAAATAAATTTGCCTTCGTTCAAAGATCCACCGGAACCTTTGAAGTCACTACTTTTAGGGGAACATGTGCAATCTAAACAGTTCTTAGACAATATTCGCACTTATAATAGTGCGATTCAAATGACATCCTTTAGTGCTCAACAAATCTTAGAAGGTCCTTTCATGCCTACTTTTAAGATACAAGGTCAGGTTTACCATTTGATAGGATCCCTTTTGCGTGAAAACCAACCTAAATTTCTTCAAATATATTTTGTATCCGACTACATCGAACAGTCGAATATAAGAAATCAATATTTCCCAAATTTAAATACTGAACTTATTTCTCAACTTCAGAACATGTTGCATCAGGTTAATTCGTATGTATGCAGTTTTAAATCGGTATTAGAAGTTCTTCCTCAAGATGGTGATAACAATTATAAAATTGTTATAAATGCCGATAGGCGTCCAACTCAGGAACACCCTGGACGTTATAACGTTCCATCCACGAATGAAGTTGCTGTAGTATTGGTCGACCAGGAATGTGGTAGGCGTGATATCGCTATCCGTTCCAGAGACAGTCGTTTGCAACGTATTTACGAAACCCACAGGGCTTACGACAGTTTGCAATATCCTTTGATATACTCTCGAGTGGAAGATGGTTATAATTTCGCTTTATACCAAACTGATCCGCATACAGGCGCACCTAATTATAACAAAAAGATGTCATGCCTTCAATTTTATTGTTACCACTTGCAAGTGGGACGGAATTTGTATACTTTCAATGTTTTCGTGGCTTATTCAATCAGTTTATTGTTGACATGTACGCAAAAATTGAAACCGAAAGATTAGTTTATATACGATCTAATCAAAGGCAGCTGCGCGCTGAAGAATACGTGCACCTTCGCGACGCCATGCGGCAAGATAATGATACAGTGAATATGGGCCGTTTAGTTATTTTACCCTCTTCTTTTACTGGTGGTCCACGCTACATGCACGAACGTACTCAAGATGCTTTTTGTTACGTAAGAAAATATGGACGTCCCGACTTATTTATTACTGTAACTACCAATCCCAAGTGGGATGAAATCACTCGGGAGCTTATTGAGGGTCAAGCACCGCATGACCGCCATGATATTATCGCAAGAGTTTTTCATTTAAAATTAAAATCAATGATAGATCTACTTACCAAAGATAACATTTTTGGAAATGTATTGTGTTATATGTATAGTGTTGAGTGGCAAAAACGCGGCTTACCTCACGCACATATCCTGCTTTGGTTAAAAGATAAGGTTCGACCTAATGATGTAGACAGTTCAATCAGGGCTGAAATTCCAGATCCGATTGCAGATCCCGTGCTATATGACATTGTTAAAACTCATATGATACATGGTCCATGTGGTGCATTTAACAGGAATGCTGCTTGCATGCAAGACGGTCTTTGCACTAAAAGATATCTAAAAGCATTAGTGGATGAAACTGTAACAGGACATGATGGATACTCATTATATCGTCACCGTTCAAGAGACAATGGTGGTTTTACTGTTGAAAAGCGAGTGTCTGGACAACAGGTTACTTTAGATAATAGGTGGGTCGTTCCGTATTCGCCTGTGATGTCTAGAGCATTTCAAGCTCACATAAATGTTGAAATGTGTAATAGTGTAGAGTCAATAAAATATATTTGTAAGTATATTAACAAGGACAGTGATCAAGCTACATTTGCGTTGAGAAATGAACATGATGAAGTTACTAGATTTCAGTCAGGCAGATATATCAGCTCTTCAGAAGCTGTGTGGCGGATCTTAAGTTTCAACATTCACGAAAGATATCCACCTGTGACTCATCTGGATGTTCATCTTGAAGGCGGTCAACGTATATATTTCAACGCCGAAATGTTACAGAACGATTAGAGAACCCTAGACAAACAACTTTATTAGCATTCTTTCGACTTTGCCAAACTGATGATTTTGTAAAATCTCTTTTGTATGAGGAAGTTCCATCGTATTATACCTACAATTATATTATACGAGTACCTAAATTTATTTTGTGGTGATTTCCGACAAACCTTACCGGTTATACCACGGGGAACCCGAGCTGATGAGGTTAGGGCTTGCCTAAAAAGCTCTTATTTGTGGCGTGATATACAATCGGTACATTTGACTATAAACATGCGAGTGAGAACTGGAGATAACCCGGATGATCGTCAATTTTCTGATAAATTATTAAAGATTGGGGAAGGTTAGACCAAGGAAAACTTATTCTGACGCCTGAGTTATGTTGTATAGTAAAATCCTAATCACATCTTATATCGTCGGTTTACGGTGACGTAACAATTATATTAAATAGGGACAATTTTTGGCTATGCGAAAGATCCATTTTAACTCCTCGCAATGACCAGGCATCTGAGATTAATAACAAAATACTGTCGAATATACAGGGGGAAAGCAAAGTTTATAGTTGAATAAATAGAATGGTCGATTAACAAGAAGCCACTAATTACCCCATAGAATTTTTAAATTCTTTAAATATGCCCGGAGTTCCTTCTCATGAAATTTGTTTAAAAGTTGGCATTCCGATTATTCTGCTCCAAAATTTAAGACCACCACAACTTTGCAATGAAACTCGGCTAAAAGTAACCCGGTTGCAACAAAATATAATCGAGGCTCAAATTTTATCAGGTTGCGGTGCAGGAGAAACCGTCTTTATTCCCAGAATTCTTATAATACCAAATAATTTTCCATTCCAATTTAAAAAAACGCAATTCCCATTATCATTGTGTTATGCAATGACAATTAATAAGGCTCAAGGGCAGACTTTTCTTGTTGCTGGAGTAGATCTCGGTGTCAGTTGTTTCTCGCATAGTCAGTTGTACGTCGCTCTTTCCCGGATTAGCAGTTCTAGAAATCTATATGTTCACGTGCCGGACGGGTCAACTTTCAACATAGTTGACCCGGAAGCTTTGCGCTGAAGTATTTTTGTTCTATAAGCACTTAAGCCTCATGTAAACGTGATCTTAACAATATTACAATTATATTAACTTAATAACACACAAGGAGTTACACTCCATCCAAAGCCCAGTGACACTATAACATATATAGGAATGACGTCTTAGCAAAAGTTGTTTAGTCTGATGGGCATTTCCTATTGACTTACAAAAATGAAAGATCTAGAACGTCTCGAATCGTCTCGCGAATCACGTTGTTTTCCCGGTCCCCGGGCTCTTAGAATTCAACATCAGACGTTTCAGATCTTCGATTTTGACGACCCCGTTGTCGCTGGCATAAGCAGCAGGATCCGCGTACGAAGTCGCGGGCAGAAGCTAGTATATAAATATTTATAAGACCTTAATCCGTTCACAGTTAGAATTTGTTGTATGAATTTGGGATCCTTTGTATATAAAATACTCAGATAGTTTTGAAAGAGTTTTAAAGATATTTCTGCGTTGTATGCACTATAAATGCTGTCACAACTATCAATCATACCACCAGCTATTACGAGTACAAAGATATAAACTCTTAGACTTGAAGTCTAGGAGAATACAAATGCAAGCCATGTTTTTGTATGACATTTGCCATAACAGGTACGATTACTTTGATATTGTCAATAATATTAACTATAGAGTGCCAACTAGATCGTACATGCGAGCCTTTCGTTCGAAACATCTATTTGCCACACGGACATCACGCGCTAACGCAGACATGTGTGCACCTATTTGTCGTATACTAAATTCTTACAACCACAACTTCAGTCATATTGATATTTTTCTAAATAGTGTAAACGTTTACAGAAACTTAGTAATTAAGGAACTGCTTGACACTGTACACAACAGTGAAAAATATACAGATGAATAAAACTCAAATCAAACCTGTAAAAATAATGTCTTTATAACACTTGTGGTAAACGGTGTGGATGTCACAATTGCTAATAATGTAACACTATTATAACAATTTGTTATTGTTATGTTGTTTGTTTACCCAATAGATTGTAAAAAAATAGGCCAACGGATTGGTAAGCTGAAGTGGCAATGGGCCGACCATATAGCTCAAAGAACCGACAACCGATGGGGAAAAAGTTTCCCGAGTGGCAGCCTCGTACCGGTAGGCGAAGTGTAGGGCGTCCCCTACTAGATGGAGTGATGACCTGGTAAGACATTCAGGTTGTCGATTGATGCAGGTGGCTCAGTACCGTGCTTTGTGGCTTTCCTTAGGCCTATGTTCAGCAGTGGATTTGTGAAAGGTTGTAATGATGATGATGATGATGATGGTGTGCAGACATACATATTATACCAATTCTAGGAGAATCAATACATTGCTTTTTATAATTTCAATATTAATTGTATATCCAACGTTCGATACGCAGAGTTTATTCCATATAAACATATTTCTCTGTTTTCTCACTGGATAATGGCATTAGAGAAAATATTTCTTACTTTGCAATCTTACTGTCATGTTCTTTATTTTGTTTATCCGTAAATTATTTATTTTAAAACGTTGGAACCTTCTAAAATTACTAAAACTGCCCAAATATACTGCTGTTATTAGACATACTCGTATATCAATCAAATAAATTTATATAACATAAAAATAAAACATTCGGACCACAATGCTTCTTATTAAAGTTCTTAAAAAAATCACATCGTTCCATTTTTGGAGGAGGAAACAAGGAATTTTTTTTTCGTTTATTTTATCGTTTTTTTTTTTTGGTGTTTCTTTAGGTTTTCTAGCTCGATTTTTGGCCTCATTGTCACAACAAGAAGTCATTGGAAATCTAATCTTCAAATTTCTGGCTCTCCAGATATTCTTTTTATATGACTCCATGGCGCTGTGGCTTAGCAATGAGTTGCTGCGCTGGGGCCGCGGGTTCGAATCCCTCACGGAACAAGTATTCGTATTTATTTATAGGAATAGGGTGACAAACGAGCACACAGTCCACCTGATGGTAAGTAATTTCTGTGACCCATCGACATCTACATTTATCCTCGTTTGGTTATCAAAATGCAGATGCGTTGTCACCCGTGAGGACTAAGTTGGAATGCCTCTTTTCCAGTAAAAAGGGTCTCCGGTTCTCTACACTCACCATAAGAAACACAGCAGTGTTAAACTGCTATTTTACGCTGGTATTCTGTGAGAGCGTAGTCCTTTCCCGGTCGGGCCGACCCATTCGTGCTACAACTATACTACTAATATAGCTGCAGCATGGCTCTACCACGTATAATGTTATCCAGGTCTGGATGTTGTCCTTGTGCAATTTATGTTTGTAAACTGCCTCCACGATACAGAAGGAAATAGTGTGGGGGTAAAGTTTTTTTTTTAATATATATATATATATATATATATATATATATATATATATATATATTAAATTAACCAAACAAAGAAATCTGTATTTTTTAAATGTCGCATATTTTTGTAGAGTCGACAAATTCCAATAAGGAATTCCATTATAAGCAAGACTGATTGAAGGGAAAAGCTGATTAATCTAAGAAATACGCCTATCAATCAGCGACCAACGAAGTTAAAGACATTTCAAATAAATGGAATGTCTATAAAGATAGAAAATTCATTTACTTTCACAAATTAGACGCTGGTTTTTATCAAAAATAATTATTTAATTTAGACAGATAAGGTAAAAGTTGTAAGGTCAACACCTAACTACTAAAAACATAACAGAAAAAGCTAAGCGTGTGATTTACGGTAAGATAATTCATTCAATGAATTATTTCATGAATATACAAATCTCGAGGACTTTAATTTATTTCTTAAAAAAATTGCCAGTAATCACATTCACTAATCCGCTAAAAAAAGAAATAAAATCCACTCGAAAACTGTTTTAACTGAATTTATCCCTCATGATAATCTTTTCACAATAACGTTAAGACGAAAGAAAGAAAGAAAAAGTTACTATCAGACAATTCGAAAACACTTCAAGAAAGTTTCCTTAACAGCTAAAGGACTTAACTCTCTTGACCTACTTGTAATTCGCTAAATATTAGTTTGCAACAACTTCTCCATGGCTTAGAGCTTAGAGTCCGCATAATGTATTACGTACACAAGTATTGAATACACTGTGTGCTATTGAATAAACGAAAAAAGCAATAACGTGCTTTTGTGTGTGTGTGTGTGTGTGTGTGTGTGTGTGTGTGTGTGTGTGTGTGTGTGCGTGCGTGAGTGCATGTGTGCGTTCTTGCGTGCGTGCGCGAGTGCATGCGCGAGTGCGTGCAGGCGTGCGTGTGTGCGTGCTTGCGTGCGTGCGCGAATGCGTGCGTGCGTGCGTGCGTGCATGTATGTGCTTGATTGCTTGCGCGAGTGCGTGCGCGAGTGCGTGCGTGCGTGCGTGCGTGTGCGTGTGCGCATGCGTGTGCTTATGCGCATTCGAGTGCGTGTGTGTATGTGTGTGCGTGTGCGTGTACGTGTGCGTGTACGTTTACGATTGCGTTTGCGTGTGCGTGAGCGTGTGCGAGTGCGTGTGCGTGTGCCTGTGCGTTTGCGTGTGCGTGTGCGTGTGCCTGTGCGTTCGCGTGTGCGTGTGCGTGTGCGTGTGCGAGTGCGTGTGCGTGTGCGTGTGCGTGTGCGTGTGCGTGTGCGTGTGCGTGTGCGTGTGCGTGTGCGTGTGCGTGTGCGTGTGCGTGTGCGTGTGCGTGTGCGTATGCGTGTGCGTGTGCGTGTGCGTGTGCGTGTGCGTGTGCGTGTGCGTGTGCGTGTGCGTGTGCGTGTGCGTGTGCGTGTGCGTGTGCGTGTGCGTGTGCGTGTGCGTGTGCGTGTGCGTGTGCGTGTGCGTGTGCGTGTGCGTGTGCGTGTGCGTGTGCGTGTGCGTGTGCGTGTGCGTGTGCGTGTGCGTGTGCGTGTGCGTGTGCGTGTGCGTGTGCGTGTGCGTGTGCGTGTGCGTGTGCGTGTGCGTGTGCGTGTGCGTG